CAACCCGAAACTTATACGTACCGCCAAAGAGTTAGAGTATGTTTTTTAAAATAAACCCTCCTACGAGCAAGCAAGCAAAAGTTAAACATCACCAAGTTTACAAGCAGGTCCTTTTCCAGGTCCAGGTCTTAGTGAGTCCGAGTGTAATAACATCTATTGATCATTATTGATCACCCTTTGGTCACCCAGGTGATCTTGAGATGATGGAAAGACCCATCAACACCATTGATCCGCATCCTTCACTGAAGGAAATCCATCAAAAGCCCACACACAACCACACAAAACCCATCCAAAACCGCTCAGCTCACTCAGCTCTTCAGGTGACCAGGTGTTTTTTTGACCCGAAACGTTCGGTCCGAGTTCTTCGGTCCGAGTTCTCCGTGTTTCGTGGCGCCAGGGCGTGAAAGGGGCTGAGGCGTGAAGGGGGCGGCTGGAAAGGAGTGGAGGAAAGGGCGGCTGAGGAAGGAACCAATTTTCGAAGGACAGGTTCTGACACTAGTGGAGTTCTAATTAGTGAGTCTATAGCGAACATATAAAGTTATAGGGGATTACGATGGATTACGTGGGAACATGACATTCCAAAAGCTGTGCTTCCAACGTCTCCGATGGAAGACTCGGACGTCGAGTTCTGCGGGAGATACCGCACCTCTCGTGCTGAACCAATGGCGGGTCAAACGCCCAACGAAACATATTTCGGTTTGGGGCTCAGGACGTCGCTGCCGTCGTGGGTACGGGCCTCGTGGTAAGGGGGGCCGTTGGTTTGCGACTCAGAGGCCTGGGCTTTTTTCGGTCGTGGTCCGAGCTCAGAGTGTTCTTCAGGTCCGAAGTACGACACTCCATGGGACTGCCAGTCCGGACTGCCGATCAGTTGGGGTGGTGCCAGGGGGGTCTGTCTGGGGGGAACCGACCGAACCGAGCGACCGAGAAAACGTCGCACGGCCCAGCGAGCTGGTTCCTCGGTGGCGCGCGCCGCTGAGAGCGGTTTCCGAGACACGAGGCCATCGCCAGCATCAAATGCGCCATTCTCCGCTGTGACTTTGATGTGCTGCACATCGAGTGTCTCAGTGTCGGAAGCCCAGACCTCTGTGTTGCTGTTGTTCGCATTCCTTCCGCGTTTTTTCCAAGGTTGAAGACGGGCTGGCGGAAGCTGAAACCATGAGCGATCATGTAGGTCCTGTATCCACTTATGTTTGCGAAACCTTGGGAGATCTTGGGAGTATTAACAGATATTAAAGGGCTCAATGAGACTACCAGGACCCTCCAAGGGGTGCCCAATGGAAGCCTATAGGCAGTGTGGAGTAGTCCATTGGACACCCTTGGAGGGTCCAGGTACAATGTCAGTGGTTATTTCAGACGGATGCCGATCAAGCATGTTGTCACTACGACCCTCTGAAAAAGAACAAACAACGCGCCGATATTTTAGCATTCGGAGGACCGACCAATTCTTTTAGGTCAATGGGTATACTCAGTTGAACATGGAATCGAAGACAGAACCCAGGAAACATCAGGAAACCCACCTATCCCACCTGGACCTGACTTACACCCTGGGACGAGACGAGGCCATGGACCAACATAAAACCACTGGTTTGGGACAACGTCCTCTCCCAGGGGGCCAGGTCTCAGACAGTCAGGGTCAGACTTCACCGCTCTCAACCTCCAAAAACAGAGCGTCTACGTCAGGTGATCCGCACCGTGATCAAGCAACACGAGAACGCCGGGGCAGCCCACAACACAGTTCTTGGATGGGGACTCCGGTCACATGAAATGCGGAGACTCCGCTGACGGGGTGAGCCTATATATAGTAATGATATATAACAAATGACATATAGTGGATTTATATTGGACGATATTAACGGATGAACTATTTAACTAATTCGGTACTGGACTGAACTAGAAAACTGGACTAAGTACTCAGTACTACCAGTCAATGTAGTACTGGACTGGCTGCGGCAACAGTTTGCAATTTGGGTGAGAGTCATGATCGTATCATAACATGCAAAGACATTTGCAAAATATAACGCTACAACCCAGCGATTTTGAAGGTGGTATCACCCGTGCGAACTGCTTGCTCCCTGTCACTATATATGCCTAACACCTAGGGCCTAAGGTGTGGGACTTGACGAGCTCTTAAATCAGCTTCGTGATGGCTGAAGAGTATACTTCGTGACTATAATGATATGTGTTTTTTTTTCAATGCACTTTACTGTGTTAAATTCTGCGGAAAAAAAGAAACGACGATTCGGCACCACCAGGCTCAACATGTCACCAGCTGGGACCGTTCCAGACCCTGACGGGACTCGCGCTCGCGCCGGCAGTTGGTGGCCCAAACGGACCCCAAGTGTCGGATGGGCAGTTGGTATCAGTCTAAGTGTCCATGTTTTTTTTTCATGTGTATTGGTCCATGCAATGCCTACTTCTATACTTCTGCTATACTGGTAGAGCCTCAAACCAGAGTAGGATGAGTAGGATGCATCAAAGGAATAGCGGCTGGACATCCAAGAGGAACCAATTTCCTCGCCCAACAGATCCAAAAAGGCTCAGTTACCACATTTGGGAGAAGCTACCTATGTCCATGTTTCCACCTGTGAGCCAAGCTGGATTGGCTGACAACAAATGCAAGGCAAGATAGCGGTCAAGTACGTACAATACTCGATCCAACACTTGAGCCTTTCAGCAACTTGATTTCGATGTTCCTACGACAAATGTACAACACTGACATGTGAGAACTGAAGATCTGACTGTTTTTGTTCATGTGATATCGTTCTATTTTTCCTCTTTTTTGAACAAGTCTGTGTACATTGTGTTGTAGGTGTTTAGCCCGTTTCTTTTCGCGAATTTGGTTTCAGGGGTGAATGTACGTCAATATGCCATAATTGCATGGCGTGTTTAGTCTTCAGTGTTTGTTTCTCTTTCAGCTTGACCAAGGATGGCCAGCCGGTCACCAGCTTTGTGGCACAGAATGGAGAGGAATCCATCCACAGCGGGGGAAGCCCAGGAATGTTCGACGTCTCAGTCTGGTGGAATCTGTGGATTAATCAGATCCCCTCTCATCAAAAGTAGATCAACAGATAAACTCACGAAACACCTTCGAAAAGAAAAGGACCTTCAAAGGGATGCTTTTGATCCTTTGAGTTACAGATGGGGGCTCAGTTTCAGTTGGTGGTTCACTTGCACTCAGAAGTGGGGTTGCGATGGGTTGCGAAGGTATCTTGCGAAGGTATCACCATAGTACCAGTTGTAACAGCAAATTTTGGATGTCACAACCCCAGTTCCCCAGTTCTGGTTGTCAAAGCACCTCGCTTGAGAAAGTACCTGTTTCTTTTGTGAACCACTCAGACTTCTGGACGAAGTGTGAGGAATCGGTCTGAATACGGCAGAGAAAGCTCAGAAGGTGCAAGGCTACCGCATGCTACCGCCATCCAAGACAATAAAATGAAACTTGGACCCGTCAACCTGCTTTTCGGGTGCGTCATTAGACTGTGGATGAGTAAATGCTTTGAATGTTTTGTTAATTATTGAACCAACGATCTAATAAAACATAATAACACATATCCACTTGAATATCCACGTGATTTTCCGTGGGAGCAACCAACACTTGTAACGACGTGTCTGAAGACGCGCCGCTGAAGACGTTCGCCGTATGAAGTCTTCTTCGGATGTCGCCCAGAAGCGACTTGGAGCTTCTGACGGGGAGCTGCGAGGAACTTGTTTGGTGAACTGAGGCTTAGTGAGTGACCTTTTCAGGAGTTGTAAATGGACTTTCAAGAGCCAAGTGACTAAGTGGCCTCATTCTGAGATCTCAAAAAGTCACTGGGAAGGTCCTGGAAGAAGGTTGGAAGCTTTCTGAATTTTTGTCAGAGCCATGTTGAGCGAGTCTCCATTGTTAAATGATTGAACTTGAGAATCACACGGAATTACAGGATTTGGGCCGTGATGGGTGTTCCATATGTTTTCCTCAAGTCGAAGACCGACCAAAACATCGAGCCGGCCCGGGGTCGCTACCATGGTGAAACCACCGAAAAAGACCGAGACCTCCTCCCGTTTCGCGGCGCTGGTGTTTGAAGCGGCGCACGGGGTTCACCGGACGCGAGCTTCTGACGGGCGAGCGCCGCCTGGAGCACGGTCCTCGAGGTTTGCGGTGCCCCATCGAGCACCGATTGGTCTACGAACTGTGCAAGGTGGGTTTTCAACGGCCAAACCAAGGGAAGAGGGAAACTGGTGGGCCAAACAGGCGTGGGAAGAGGCCAAACCAAACAGGCGTGGTTGTCGCGGCCACCGGCCGCTCAATTCGGGGCTCCGATCGCCGTATGCTAGGAGCGATCGGACGCTACTAGGGGCGTCACGAACATCGCCACGAACGGAGCGATCGAACGCTTGTTTGGTTGTTTGGTCGTGAACATGAGATGCTTTTCGGCGGAAACACACGGGCGAGATGTGAGGAGATGTTCCGTTTTTGTTTTTTGGGGTCACGTGGCTGAAAGGGAAACCAGTCTTTCTAGCAGCCTGGTTTCTGTTCTCTCCCAGGAATGTTGGGGAAACGAACCTTCTCATGTTCTAGCCTGTGACGAGTCTCCACTTCGTCTCCCGGGTGAGACTTGTGGCGATTGGTTTCACATCCGTGGGCCGCCACACGACAACGTGTGCGCTTCGGTGTCAGACGGCCTCCCCAGTTGGTGCCAAGCTTTTGAAGCTGCCCTAGGGCTCCAACCACCTCCTGAGAAGATGGTTGGGGTGGATTTGAGGGGTCTATATAACTACCCTCTGAGGATATGGTTGGAGCCCTAGGGCTGTATCGTCAAACTTCCTGACCCCAAAACCCAACCCCCGGAGAGCCACCATTTCGGCGCAAGTTACGTCTTGGTCGGTCACCTGGGCCAGTTTCGGCGAGCTGCGAAAATGTGGGTCGATGGCTCAAGCCGTGGCTTTTAAGGGTGCCTTTGAAGAGGCGCCAATGATTGCACATCTCAGAACATCTCCCACGATCTTCTACCCCCCTGCCTGGGTGTTCACCCACATCACACAGATCAGTTGTCGCCAGAGTCAGACAGAAATCCCAGCTGCTCCAACCATGGAAGATCGAGGTGCGCGGACAGCCGATGAAAAGTGCAGGAGGTTTCTTGTGCGGATTGACTTGTTCCCATACGCTCCTTCAAATTGAAAGTGGAAGTTCGCCCTGCGTGAATGGGTAGACTGGTCTATTTCCCGAACCTTCCAGGAAGTCTTTGGGAGGTCTCCCTGTTTCAATACACTCCCTAATATACAGTATTAATCAGTATTATAGTAATATGCCAACATATCAATCCCTCAGACCACCCCAACTGATGGGTAAACCCAGTAAACTAATATCATTCCCATGGAGTCTTTGGGACATCTATGCAACGTGCATCGCCGTTAAACAGCCATCCATCAACACGGAAAACACAGGACAATGGTCGCATCCACAATCCACTGAACAGAAGTTCTGGTCGAAGGTATCGCCACCGACTCGAACGCCGCAGTTGTTTTCTGCCACGCAGTTTGTATCCTTCTTTTGTTTAGCTTCTGTACGGCTTCGGTGGCACAGTTCAGAGAGAACGACCCCCTCATTTCAGCGGTAGAAAAGAATCAACTCCATCCTGGGTTGGGGGGTGTATGACTATGTAACTATGTATGTTCCATCCAAGAACCAACCAAAATGGGTGAGGCTGATTTATTGGGAATCAGACCTCTAACCTGTGGATCCCACTATATCAGGAACCAGGGTTTCTAGGTCTATGTGTTTTTTCTTTGGAACTACTCGTACTGGTTACCTACTATACTGGTAACTGGATCCATTGGGTAAAATACAATGGCTGTCAGTGACCAGTCATCACGGAGTCAGACTCAAACATACATGGTGATCACCAAGTCAGACTCTAACACCTGTGAAACGCAGGCATGAACATGCAATGAAAGGACTCGGAAGGAAACATGTAAGGATATTTTGTCAGATAGCGGAATCAGACGAAATATGTGTGCTCCCAATTTGCGTTACATATATAATAATTCTACCCAAAGAGCTCGAAAGACAATTTGTTGCTCGGGAGAATTGCTTGGGTCCGCGCGAGCGCACGCTGCAGGTGATGCGGAGCAAATCTTTGTGCATGCCGCGTTCTTGGACGCTGAGTTTGCAAGCGAGTCGCTGCGTGCGTCACGTTTTAGTATGCAGTTTCTGTGAGGGAAGTTATCAACTGGGCGGTTTATATAAGGCCATCATGATCCGGATTGGGAGCAAAACATCGAAGGGGGCAGCATATGAGGAGCTAAACTATGACCTTCCTCCGTTCAGCATTTCCTTGACTTTTGGAGGTTGATTTGGTCACTAGTATGACCTTCCTTCCTTCGGTCTCCGAAGGCTGGTGGTGGCTAACTTGCAGACGTCACAGTGACGTCACAGTGACGTCACAGGTGGTTTCCCTGTGAAGTCGGGTGAAACGTTTTTGGCAACATGTTTGCTGTTTGCCCACATTGGGTACCCCGGCCCTACAGTTGATCCACCTTCCAAAATGGGGGACCCAACCCCAACATGGTGTAGCCGAAGGGGGCAACATCCCCCTGCTTTTGCTGTGGGCGTTGGTTCCTTTCGTCCTTCCTTCGTCTTCGTCTTCGGATCCTCAGAGGGACCGTAGACAGCCCGTGGGATCCCGTGGCGACAGCCGCCCTCGTAGCGTGTAGCGTCCTCGCTCCGTTCGGGATCTGCTCTGCCGGGAGCCCCGTGACGGAGCTTCTGGTTCGTTCTAGCCTAGTTGGGAAGAGTTGATGTTCACGACCCTTTTTTTGGGAGGGACGGTGAAGCCCTTGGCCCTTGATGAGTTGCTCTGTGTGCTCTGTCCAGGATGGTGCAAGCATTTTGGACGGCCCTTTGGCCTCAGAACAAGGGCTGCCTTTGGGGAGAACTGGACATAGGTGAGAACATGTTTGTATCTTGTAGGGTGATGTATTCTGTCAATCCTAAGAGTGTTTGGGTATGGGACGATGTCGTGACTATGGATCCTTGTTCGACCCTCTCCCATGCACCTCCATCTTCTGGACAGGTTACCCATGAAGTGTTCCACACATGTGACTCAAGTAACGCATGTCAGTGCGTGCCTCGCGGTGGGCTCAGGTGCCACATCACGTCCTCGAGCCACAAACGAAAAGACAAATAACAGTCTCAAACCAGGAAGCGCTGCTGTAAAGACCAGAGCGGTAGTGTTTCAGACGGCAGGTTTTCCCACCCAAAAGGTGGATGTTTGTTGGCGGCATCTCACATGACTCATGGGTGCCAGGCGATGTAGTACGGCAGGATATGTGTTTTGCACAAAGATTGACTGATGTTCCACCCTAAGAATCCGGCCCCCTTCCCCAGACACTCCATGGGACTTGCATTTTTACCGATCAGTTGGGGTGGGTTTTAGGGGTCAATGGATGTAAATATGCCATACATCGGGTGTCTGGGATTGTGAGCGAAATGTTCTTTTGTCCAGCTTTGCTTTCGAGAGAAGGTTTTGCTGGATGAATCAGCGCAATACCTAAGCTGGCCGAAGCCACTGACTTGATCGCTCAAATGATAGGATTCCTTTCCGGAAACTCAGACCAGTGTTTCTCTAAACGATCATCAAATTCAGGATTCGTGACCCGTGAGGTTTGTGCCCTTCGGCATTGGCGCGGCTGGCTTTGTCGAACAAGGCGAGGACGGTGCCAATCCTGTTCACTTACGGGAGAGTAGTCTGAGTGGTCAAGTATTCTTGCTACAGGCGGATGCAAAAATCACTTCGAATTTGAGTTCCACCAATCTCATCTCTGAATTTCTTCAACCAATGAAGGTTGGACAAGAAGTCTACAACACTCTAGGTTGACAATTTCCTGTTCCATTAGTATGACTGTCACAGAGTCCATTCTGAGGATGTATGTTCTCCAGTCCTATAAACCATGTTGTTGGTCTTCCACATGCTCCACCCTATTTGGAAGATACAGGATGTAGCTGTGAGGCCCCATGGTATGGACCTTGTGACCAACACTCTATTTGGTACCTATAAGGTACCTGCTCCACCCGATGTACTCCTACATACCTTACCCCCTTTCACCACCCTGTGACCTCTCATGACTGACCTTCTCCAACCGACGGCCAGGAGTTGCGAAAGAGCTTGATGCAAGAAAGGCCCAGGCAGGAGAATTGGATCAAAAGTTCATCAAACTGATTTGCATTTTGTGGCATGAATTGGGTGTGTATTCACATAGGGACCTCCCAGGCGTTCCGACCTCCCGGAAGCAGGACCAGTCATGACCTGTCTACCTAGGGCAATCGGGGATCTCCCTCTTAAGTTTTGCACCAAAATACACTGACACATATGAGTGACAAAACATCCGTCCGTGTACTTTAGTCATGAGTCTCCTTGCCTAGTGTTTCTGGTCAAAACCTTGCAAAACCGACAGGTGCCAACCCTATACCGATACCCTTTCTTGATTGAACGTGGCTTATTGCCGGCATTCCAAAACACCGGAAACCGATAGGAGGCAACCCCAAATACCTTTTGCCATTGGGGACACGAAGAAGTTTTGTCCGCCGCTCATGTATCCCTAGGGATCCAAGTACCTTCTCAAAAGGTACTTAACCGACATAACAGTCTCTCCCTACAATTACCTTCTGAGAAGGTACTTGGATGCCTAAGGATAATAAGGGATGATATGTTAGATTCAATTATGATTAACTGATGCTTCTTTTTGCCTCCCCTCTCAGTGACCCTGTCTGAACGCCCGCCGCCAGGCTTTGGTTCGATGCCGTGTGGGGCCAAAACCGCTAACCCGGTGCGAAGGGCGGTGGAACGGCGGTGGTGATCCGTTTGACACGAACGGATTCTTCTGGTATCCATGTTTAGCCATGGGACATGCCTAACTTGGGATCCTATTTTGGGCTGTTCGGTTTGTGTGCTACTTAGGACATGTCCAGGGATAAGGGACACTTCCCTTCAAATTCAAAAGCTCCCTGAGGAAGAGCACAGTTGGTCTCTGAAATCCATTCTATAGAGTTAAGTCAACAATGCCAGAGTCGGACCTACATCACAATCCTGTTCTTTCCAGCCACCCTGCCACGACACCCTCCGTCTGCAGCAAAAAGAATTCGATTCCCCGCAGCACCCAATGAGGTCTCGAGCTCGTTGCCGGGCTTCGAGTTAAGCGAATCGCTCTTTACAAGGTGCTGGGCTCAAGATGGAACGTGTTGATGGAACGTCCGCTTTTCTTCGCGAACACGGATGGTCCACTAGCTGTGGCTTCCAAAACTCGCAGCCAACCCCCAGGACATTTGTCCTTGGCGCGGCCGCCCCACATGGGCCTAACAGTCTCAGTTTCGGAGCGGTTCCGAAGATTCGTCGCCCAAGAGTCCACAAAGGTGTTGGATGGTGATTGGTGTTGGGTTTCTTTGGGCGTTTTGGTCGCAGCGGTTCCGCCCGGCAGATGTGAGGATTCGCAGAGGCATTCCCTGGCAAGTTCAGGTCGTCCCTTGAGGAATATCAGCCTGGGGCGTGACCACGGAGCGCCTTCAAAAGCAGTTCGGACTGCTGTGAACATGGCGCTCCGGCAAGCAAACAGATGGTTCTTGATTCACCTCAAGCAAGACTATAGGTTGTTGTCTTCAAGGAAACAGATATCGAACAGATCAGGACAGTGGACAAAGAGAAAAGCCAAAATGAGTCCAACATGAGCATACTCCCGTAGCTACTCGGAAACTCAGCTCAAGCTCAATAACCACTCCCACTGGGTTGGTAACGGACCTCCAACGGTCCAATAACCACAGGGTTTTGGTCGGTCAATTCGTTCCACGGACTTCAGCTGTGTCGACAGATGACACCGGACTTACCAGACCTCGAGACTGACGCTCGGGCCCGAGTCGTCTCGGCCCGTCTCGAGTCTCGCAACCTAGAAGTCCGAAAGGGCCCGATGGCCAAGCTGGAAAAAGTCATGAAACATTAAGGAGTGAGTCTCCTGTTAAGCAATTCCTTCTTCCAGAAGAGTCTCAAAGATCATCAAAGATCTAGTCTCAAAATGTCTCTTTCACATCAGAAGAACATCCAAGACCTGGCAAATCTGGGGAATGTTCCACCACAGTGACCTCTTCACACCTCCAGATGGAGTCCCAGGCACAGTGACCCCAACCCACCGGGAGATGACCGCTCGCTCCGTTGGAAGCACCGGTGGCAGACGAGCGCTGATCGGTCGGCCAGGCCACACGAGTTTTTAGCCTTCCTAAGAGACTTCTCCAGAGCAACTGCTGTTCCAGGAGCCGGGAAAAAAGAACAGAGAAATGGTTCGGCTGGCACCACATCTTAGTGGGTTTTAGAGGGGTTCGGGTTCTGAAGTCGGTGGTTTTTGTTGGATTCTGCAGGGTGAAGTCAGGCTCGCACCAAATTGGGTGTTCTTTGGCTGAACAGGGTTCTGAAGTCAGGTTCAATTGCGCACTTGGCGGCACATACTGGCACTGCTAGCATGTCTGAAACCTAAGTTGGGTATTTTAAGTGAAGGCTTAAATTGAACGAATTCACTTGATCTGCCTTTTCGTCCCAAAATACCAGCCAGAAGGCGAACATGTCGCATAGTTGAAAGATCCCACATGGGTTTGTATTAAAAGAAGTAGGCCCTTAAGTGATTGGTCGGTCTTGTTTTTCTTCCATTGGGGGTCCGGTCGAAACCACATTCTTCCACACCCCGACCATGGATGTCCATTCTGTCGATTTGTAGATCAATATAGCATGGTCCACGTGTTTGAGAGAACTGCAACAAATAATCACCGGCACGAATGATGGGCCTGAAATGGTCGGACAAACAACAACGAGTCTTTGTCGGACAAAACGAGTCGTTCTTGGAAGGACTGGTCATTCCTTTGGGAGATGCAGACTCAGACGAAGGCGGGGCGAGCTTCAAGCAGACTCCTCGTGAAAACGCGCCGCAAGAACGACACATCTGGAACGACGAACTGGTGGAGGAACGGCTGGAGTAGCAAGTACTGGTATGTGGAAGCAACCATTGGACCCATCAGCTTATCAGCTTACCCGTGGACCCATTTAATCCAAAAGTGCGAAGACCTGCTCAGAAGCACTCGACGGTATAAACTGCTGAGGGTCAACATACTTTCATGCATACCCCCTAATTTAAAGAAGTTTCATTCTGTTTCAGGGTTTCAGGGGGTGGAACCAGCGGGGACTCATGTTTGGCAGACTCTCCTGTAGGCTTACTGTAGGTCGTACTGTAGGCGTCGTACTTCGCCATGCTCGGCAGCTGGACACGAAGAAAAACGTCCTTCTACCCTAAGAATCCTTGGGCCCTCAATGGCAGAGGCCTCAAAACCTTCTGTGTTTGAGGGCCTGGATTCTTGGGTTGTGTCCTTTTCGCATGTTTCTTCGCCGTACCCATGCTCTACCACCACAGGAGACGGGTCACCCGACCTTTGGGGGAAGACGGTTTCGCCACCAGTCGACATGAACAGATGGAAGATGGACCTGACCTGAGTGTCACGTAAGACAGAAGCTGTAAGACACAGCTAAGACAGATGGAACAGATGGAAGATGCTTCTACTGTTCTCCCAACAAGTCCATCGTCTTAGGAGTCGGAGAGTCGGATCTTTCGCTCAGATGTCGGATGTCTGGATGTCAGTTCTCACACGTGCAAACAGCACATAACAGCACTGAAGATGAGTATAGTAGCCACATTTCAGTGTTTTTTCCCCACCTGTCAGGTGAGGGTTGTTACCGTAGATTTGTAGCAGAGGTGCCACAACTCCTCCTCCTCCTCTTTCTCCTCGTCCTCCTCAACGGCAAAGGTCTGATCACAGTAGGCACTCCGGACCTCAACAGCAAGCGCCAGATCGCAGTGGGCACTCCCGGACCTCCACAATCACCAGTTGCACAGCACACAACCAACAAGACACAACAACACACAGCCAGCAGCACACAACAAGCAACTCACAACCACAAGCATACAGCCACTAAGCCACCACAAGCGCAACCTCAAGCACAACCTTAGACACGCAAGGCACAATACACAACCAACAAACTACGTACAACCAGAAGCAACACTACAAGCACAGAACACAAACAACACACAGCCACATAAACACAGCCACAAGCACACAAGCACAACCGCGAGCGCAACCACAGCCACAGCAGACAATACACAACCACAACACACACACAATACACAACCACAAACACACATCACACAACACACAACCAACAAAACACGACCACTGACACACAACCACAAACACACAACCGCAAGCACAGGCACAAACACAGCACAAGCACAACACAAACACACGACACACACGACACACAAAACACACCCAACAACACACAACCACACAATCACAAACACACAACTACACACACAACCAAAAGCACAACAATGTAATTCAACCCGAGAACGCACAAGAAAAGTCGAGAACCACAAAGCCCACCACCATGGCAACATGTTCCTCACCACGGCATGAAAGCAACTGATTGAAGTGTCATGGCGTGATAACTCGATCTAATGTATTTTTTCTGAATGGTTCCCGGCATAGACGGGGGCAAAGCCTACCTGCCGATTGAACGACGCTTTCTTGCTGTAAGCCTGACAGTATGACCAAGTACTGGCAACTTCAGGCCAACTAACATGACCTAGTGGGTTCAATCCCGGGATGCAACACTAGGCGGACAGGCGGCCACTACCCCCGTACAGACGCAACAACGACTCACTAACATGAAAGTGGAACCCCGCACTGTTTGTTTTCCGACTCCCTGGTAGGTGGAAAGCACATTAAAACCCACCCTGGACAGTCGCCATCAGCCTCCCCCACTTGTCTGAAGAGGCTCCAAACTTGTGAATCCACCGAGGGGATTCAGTGTTTGTACCTTGGCCCCTCATTCGCATCTTAGCGTAGTTATTATACCCTGCAACCTGCAGCCTGTCAAGCGATTGGTTTTGGAGGTTGGGAGCCGTGTATAGTGCGTTCTCGTGGAGGAAAGTAGTCTTCCCATCGCCAATGATCCACAGTGTAGCAATCAACTGAGCATGCAGTGTGTCCTTTTTGTTGCCGCTGATTGGCACCGGTGGTATGTTGATGAACGAAAAACACTGGAACGACCCCAATCCTGAGCATGATCCTGGCATTTGTGGCATATCCCTGCCACATTCCAATGAATCCTTCTTAGCTTTGGAAGCTTTGATCAGGAGATGCAGAGATAGGTTGTTCATAGCAGTGGTTTACTGCGACTGGTTCAGTGCAAATGTCCAAACACGAAATTACCACCATTCAATCGAAGGTTGGAACATCTACTAGCTGTTGCCATCAGTTCACATATTAATACAATGTATAGTCCCTAGGGCTCCAACCATATCCTCAGAAGGTGGTTAGACCCCCCAAAGCCACCCACCCCTGTCCCATCTTCTCAGGAGGTGGGCCTGGAGCCCTGGGGAGTATGATATGTCAGTATGATCGAATCGATTCCGACCGCACGTTCTGGACCCGAAGAAAGTCCAACCCACCAACCGCCCGAAACCCGACGTGGAGCGGAGCTTCACCCCGCCGCTGACTGCAGATGATGAGTCGGACGAGTCGGACGAGGAGCTCGACGAGCTGCCCCGGACCTGCAGTGACAAGGTGCTGCGTTTGACCAGGCCGGAGCTGGAGCGGACTGGAGACGTTGGAGAGCCGGGTGAGGTCGCGGGGGGGGGGTGTTCTGCCATCAACAGAGCAGCGGCCTCCGGGTCCAGGGTGAGTTTGGAGGAGCTGCAGAGCCGGTGTTGGTATTGCTGATCTTCGGAGGTTGATGGTGTCTCCAGGTGTGGAATCCCCCTGCCGGAAACGAGATCCAGAAGCAAGCGTTTTGGTTTTGGCGTTCGGATTTCCGCGGCCGAGCATCCGATGGCCAGGTTGGAAGATGCACAGAAGCTTCAGGACAGGCAGACTGGCAGCGCTGGGCGTCGTGCCACGCGAACATCACATCTCAGGGGGCGCCATGCCACCCCCGCATTGGGAGCACGACTTCAAGAGAGCACGACAGGGGCGCCACCATCGAGGAACAGTGGATGACCCGCAGGGATCACCGGGGGAAGAACGGTCTTTTTCGACTCAACGAATCCTCAACGTGAAGAACCGGTGAACCGGCAGGGACTGCAGGGACTGCTGCATGTGAGGCTCGCCCTCAGGCTAGGCCTTTCCAGATGAGCATTCCGGACTTCAGGGACCTGCCAATCTGTGGCATGTCAGTGAGCCAGATGCCAAAAGTGAAAAAGCACCAACAAAACATAGGAAAAATACACAGTCTTGGAGCAAGTGCAAGGCAAGGCTTCACCGTCTACCGGCCGAAGAAGGCAGACCAGCTGTTTCAGAAAAAAGACTGGAGATGACCCTCCCTTCGAGCGGTCTTTGACCCCTGATGAGGTGCAAGTCCAGTGCCCAGGTTCCCTACCTACCTGCCTACCTACCTACCTACCACAGTGGCCCACACAAAACATCACAAGATATCACAGTATCACAAGACTGTCAAACTCAAAAACCACTTGCATCATGTGGAAAGAATAGAACATGGAATTCAACCTCTTCCACCCCTTTCCCCATCCCTATCCGCGGAAAATTCGCCTCCTCCGGCGTGGGCGAGACCCGCGTGACGCGTGCGGACAGGAGCGCTTGCGGATCGCCTTCCAGATCGCCGAGGAGCACGTGGCGACCGGGGGCACCTATGCTCAGGCCGAAACGTCGATCGACAGGTCAACGACGCACAGGGACCTGCACGGTACGACCTGGAATGGATCCGTTTCTACAGACGGTCTACGTTAGGTACAGTATTATAGAATGGGCTTCAAGCACCCTTTGAGCAGGTGTTTGGGGTGAGTGTGGACTGTTTGGAGGGTCCAAATACCTTTTGAGGAGTTGCTTGAAGCCCTAACCTAGTAGCATTCACAAAATATCGCCTAGCTGTCCACCGTCGTGCCGATTCACCTTTCTTTGTTCACACCAAACACGTAGGATGAGTACCAAGATGTACAAAATATGACGGGTGGCCATAGTGCGAGGTCCACTGCTTGTGGACATCAAACTGTGAGCGATCGACTGTCCCTGCTGCAGGTCTTTTTGGCACCTTTAGTGCTTCCGGAGCTCTCGAACAAGGTGCTGTTTTTTTCCGGCAGCGGCGGGGAGGCGCCTGTGTATAAAAAACACGCCCGTCATGTCCCGTAATTAGTCCCATAATTGCATATGTTTAACGTTGTTGTTTTTACAAAACATACAATCCGTCACGTTCAATGTAAGGGGCTATGCCATTCACTTCCACGATTGTTTCAATTACATTACATACCTAACAATACAGAACATACACTAGACTATACAGTCCCTTTCAATAACATACAGGATGCCTCAAATATGTTTTTAAACCATAGTCAGTTGGGCTGCAAGGAGTTGCCTTTTGGGCACCGGTGTTTTTGGACAGTGCCTGAAACAATCACTCATTGGCTGTTTCCAGTGGTGGACTGGTGCAAGATGTGCTGGCAATTTAGGGTCACTTGTGCAGCATGTTGTCTTTTTATTATATAATATTATATATATATACAGCATAATTGACTGTGGAGCTGAACCCATAGTCCCCGTTTGGGGCTTTGGCTGAGTTAAGACTCGAATCCGATGAAGTACTGCGACTCAAATGCAAGCAACTGACCAGTTTAGAAGATGAAATACTTCTTCAGGGATCGATGAGAGTGCGTCACACTCGTTGGACCTTCAAAAGGAGTCGGCCCCTTTTCTCCAAAAACTTCAGGGACGCGTCGGGCCGAGCGGGAAAATGGTTCGGTACTTCTCACAATCACATGAATTGATTGCAAGGATGGCTGGGTCTCACCAGATCAAGTATCAAGATATCAAGAATTGATCAAGATACAGGAATTGACCACATCAATTAAGAATCAAGATGCACAAACAGGGTGCATTCATTTGCGTTTGACCATGGGCATGACGGAACTGAATGCTGGGAACGGGAAAACAGATTGTTTGGGGGCCAGGTCCAAGAATGTTGCAAGCTGATGTCAAAACGATTGAAGAGGATCTTGTGGTGCTGAGATTGAGTTGGGGAGGACATGGTCAGGGGGCAGCAACTCCGTGATTAGCTCCCCGTGTGTTTTCCTTGTGGGGAGCTCGCTGCGTGTCTCTTTACCCCAAGAAGAACCATCAACAACTTCAGATGTTCCACTCTTCCCAACGTTCCCAGCTTGGGTTTTCTTCGGGCTTCGTTTGAAGACCTTCGTTTGGAAAAAAATAACGATGCGCCCGACAGGTTTGGTGCATGTCCCCATGTTTGTCTATGTGCAGATCCCCGGGTAAGACGGGTATGACACGGGTAAGACCGGATGTGTTCTTCTTGTCAGACGGCTTCGGTGTCCGAGTTAACCAAATCTAAGCTTTTGGGCATCTGGTGAAGCTTTTGAGGGCAGAACACCTTTCGATGCCCGAGGGAGACGCCAAAAATCAGCACCCTCACCGATCGAAGCTTTGGTTTGGTCCCGGACTGCTGCGCCTTTTCCACCTGACGAGGTACGCTTTTGGATGGATTCAGAGGCTGGGTGAATTAGGTGCTCTTTTGAACTGCCCAGGAGGCAGTTTCAAGGATCTATCATAATCAACTCGTCATATTAACCAATGTTTGATATACTTTGTTTTTGTTGGCGGTAAAAGTTGCTTTGCAAAACAATAGTAGCAAACAAGTCCCGACACCTTTGGCTTCATTCATGGGGTGGATTGGTTGGCGAAGCAAAGAAATTCCTCATGAATGAACTACGACACTCTTGAGAATGGACAGCTACGGCTACAGACTACTCAAAGCCTTGGTGCTTCTGAAGATATGATTGAACACCTGATTCGACATGCAAAAGGTCCAAGGTGAACACTAGACCATACTAGACTTGTAGAGTGTTCATTCATCAGATTGAGCAGTCAGGATGCCAATTCTCTGGATCCCACAGCCCCTCCTAAGATTCGGCACCCAAACTGAACCAATCACCGATCAGGCGGTTGCTGGTCCTTCCGTGATCTTCGTGTCTGCTAGGAGGGCTTTCACCCAGACCTGGTGTTCGGCCAGCCGATCGTGTTGCCGGGAGATCAGGCCCGGTCCATCGGTCCATCGGTTCGTGGATCAGGTGGATCACGCGGGGGCAATGGGTTTGGTGATGTTTTGGGTGGTGAAACCCCACTCAACAAAGTACTAAGAACGGGTCCCAGGTGGGACAACAGGTGGAAACAGTTTAACCTCTATTTTCCGAAACTGAGAGAGTCAGTGGAAAGGTGTTGATTCATGCTCCCGCTGCAGAGCTGACAAGTCCCTGGCCGCTTTGTCCCAAGGGGGGTGGGGTCTAGAAAGGATTGGAGGGGGGCAGGTTTAAGGTCTAGAAATCTCGAAACCAACCCTTTTTGAACTATTGGCTGCTACCTCTATAATGAATTTACAGGCAGACCATGAACCAAAAGAGTTCACTTTAGGGGTTGAACACAGAAGGATTTGGTGGTATGCTTAAGTACCTACATGTACCCATGTTTAAAACTGGAACACTGGGTTTGGATGCGCAGAGTTCCCTTCAGAGAGCTTGTTATTGAAGTCCCTGGGTCAGAAGATGTTTGATGTTTGCATTAAACTTAGGTTGGAGTCCATTGCTCTTAGGAAACTAGTCGCAACATCTCTCCATTGATCCTTGAGGGCAGGCTGGGTGATTCGAGGTTTCACTGACAGGCTTAAGATGGCTCAAATTGCTTTGAGTTGGTCACCCATGGCCAAGGGTGGGCGAATATGCGCAATCTTTGTTCGGCTATCTCTGGCTCGTTTGATGTGAACGATGTAATTCCCAGAACCACGGCTGTCCCTATGGCTGTCCCTATGGCTCCCAAGGTCGGCTTCATTGAACCAACCCCCACTTGAAGTAACTGTATAACAGTAGCTTACAGACTTATAGTAGTACAGAAGGAGGGATGGATTGGGGAGTCAGTGGCAGTCCTGAGCCACCTGGTGCGGGGGAGACCAATCCAAACTTAATTGATGTGTTTGGATCTGCTTCTCCCCGGTTTTCAGCTCCACTCCGGGACCAGCCTCTCCAGGCTCCGCAGCAACCGGCCGATGCGAAAGGCCGTTTCTCTTTTCTTTTTTATTTTTTCGGTCGGAGCGATGTTCGGTCGGAGCGGTGGGTGGGGCCACCATGGGGGTTTTGGTTTATTTCCCTTGAATCACCTTCTTTGGCTCTTAGGTTGAATGCCATCGCTCTTGGGTTGGAGGCCATCGCTATTGGGTTCGAGGCCATCGCTGTTGGAGGCCATCGCTCTTAGGTTGGAGGCCATCGCTCTTGGAGGCCATCGCTATTAGGTTCCACTTTGCTGGTATGTTTGGACATTTGGATGCACTGACTCATTCGGACCTTCCATGCCGGATAATCGCGGGGTGGGAGGCCTGAAGAGGCAGTGTGATGATCCATTTCCCTGGCTGGAAGTAGGTCTTTAGTCCCTTCTTCCAGGATTCCAGATGCACACCCAAATGGATTGAGCGCTTTCTTTATGCTGGAGGCTTTTCTCCTCTACAGTCTCATGGTCTCAGGGTCTCATGGTCATTCATTCCCCAAACAGTGTCAACATGTGTCTACTTAACTCTTATAGTCTTATACACTCTTTGGGTCTCTTAGCTGGGAAACATGATCGAAACTTCGAAGCTTCAAAACCTCTTCAACGAGCAGGTGGGATCTTGGGGAAGGACCACTGCGTTCCAAGTGGACCATTCCATGATCCATGTCGTTCCGCGCGACCGCTGCGTTGACGAGCGCTTCGTTCTCAGCGATATCGCATCACGTGAGGCGGTCGTCTTCAAGCGGCCAGCGAGGCCAAGGAAACCAAGGCGACCTGGCCGTCGAACCCCCGCGGATCAGTTGGGTGTTTGGTTGTGGACATCGTGGTCGTCCCATGGAGTGTTTGTTCTTTGTCATTCTTGTTCGTATGACGCGGAAAGCAGACGCCTGGAGGACTGAGCTTGACTGAACATAGTTTTTGAATGGTTTTTATAACAGTTTTTGTACTTCAAGAACCCTAAAGTTTACGCTTCTTACTCTGTTCCAACATGAC